GTGTGTGGAGAGTACATCCAGCTGAAGTGGAACACGCACTGTAAACAGACTGAGAACAGTTGCATCCACCCTCTTTCTCCTCCTCTTCCTCTCCATTTCATTGACATTTTAACTTTTCTTTCCCTCTTTCACTGGAGTCTTTTTCGCCTCATTTCCCCGTCACACACTCACTCTCTCTCTCTCTCTCTCATTAAACAGAACATGCTGGTTTAGTTCCTCCTCTACAAACAGAGACGGCTCTGCAGCTGCAATCCATCATCTTTACTCCTTAACTAACTTACAAAGGCACACACACACACACACACACACTTTTAAAGCACACACACATACGAGTACTAACACATTTTAAAGGAGAGAACAGATAAAAACAACAGCAGCTGTGAGACGGGACGCAGATCTGGACGCTTTGGTCTAATTTATTTGGTTGTTTTTGTGTTTCAGTTGCACGGAGGACAGGAAAACTTCTGCAACACTTGAAGTGTAAACAACAACTTTAGAGTCAGATTAACGTGTTTCTGTGCGTCGGTTCGATGTCCGGCAGAGATTAGCGTCTCCATGACGACAGGGCTCGAAGGTGCGTGTCTTTACAGGCAGAGAGCGTCCGCCGTGGTCAGCGAGAACAAAGCGAAGTGAATCACAGAAATGAATCGTTATGTTTCCGACTGTTTCGCAGCGGTTACGTTCTGTGCAGACATCGGTTGAGTCTCCGAACAGACGCACGTTTGACGGGTATCAGGGTCGTCACAGGTCGGCGTCTCGGGGCGCGGCTCGACACGTTCGAACTGGTAACCGAAATGCCCTCTTTTAGGAACCTCGGCCTTCCTTTCCCTCAGTTAGATACTCTGTGGTAGAATGAAAATAACAATAATGAATGAATGACAGATATACACAGGCACACTTTAGACTAGTTAATGTAAACTAGATTATGTTTAAACCTTTAAACTGTGGATATAAAATGTTTATCTAACACTTGTAGAACTGGACTTTTGAGGCTGATAATATCTTTATATTTATTTAAAGTCATAGTAGTAATTATCTGTTTCCCTCCGAGGATCAATAAACTCGATAGTAGACAGTTATTTCTATTTCTTAAACACAAGCCCTTTAGGTAAGATCCCCTAAATTTGGTTATTAATGAATTTCAGCCAATATTTGTACTGAGTGAGTTTCTTTAGTGAATCTAATATACGTTTCTATCTTATGACTTATTGATCGACCTACACGCCGATAGATGTGTGTCCGATAATCTCAAATATCCCCAGTTCACAGTTCACATCCAAACCCGTCCGTCCTCAGTGTGTCTCTGTTTGACTCTTTAAAGCGGTTTTATTTACTCCTCAGTGTCGTCTGCTGTTAGAGGTTTCATTCAGAGCTCACCAAAACTCTACCTCTCCTACAACGCGCCGTATGGATCGGCACACAGGGGAGGAAACCTGAAGCCACAGAGCACCAAACACAGGCCGCCTCCTCCACAACAAACGTGTGCGTTAAAGTATGTGTGAGATATGGATTCTTCCAGAAGCCTGTAGTATTGCAGCAGGGTTGTAACAAGGTGCACAGTCGTCCTCTGATGCATTTAATCCGTGAGTCAGTGTGGGGGAGAGGCAGAGAGGAAAACACACAGCTTCAGTCGAATGGGACGAACATAAAAGCGGTGTAAAGCCCGGCGTCCCAGTCCAATATAAACCAGGCTGATGTGTCAGAACCGCCACGTCTTACGTAACACACACAAACATTTAGAGACAATATTCTGCAGCTCAACACATCCAGAACTCACGGACTCATCAGCAGCGTATAATGTCTGTCTCTAAACCTGATGTACTTATCTGAGCCAATATGTCGATTTAGGTGGAATTTGTATTAATGAATGAAAAAGACAAAT